GAGCCCAGCTGGTGGGGGGAGGTCTGTGCTGAGCTGAGGAGGAAGCTAAGGACATAATCCCTATTAGGAAGTGTGAATAGTTAGCGCTACTTTATAATTCGAGAGTTTTGGACCTTGGTAAAGAGGGATTTTGTAGATTTGTAAGGTGTTAGGCCGTGTGAATAGATGCATCCCCGTTCCTCCCTCCCCCAGGAAAAAAAAAAAAATAAAGCCATGAGATTGTGCTCCGAAAGTGTCGTGGATGGAACCACCAGGGCTAAGGTGCACCCTGCACAGCATGTTCTTGCTGATGGCAGCACCTCTGTCCCCGTGCCCTGCCCAGGCTGCGAGTCCTCTTAGGGATAAAAACGCCCTATTATGTCCATAGCGCTCCGAAGACTAAACCCTTTTGGGATAACCACAGTAATTAACTGTGAATGGTATTTTATAAATGTAGATACGTACGCCGTTCCTTTGAGGTAAGGTAATACGACATATGTAGCATAAGCTGGTACTGCTGTTAAATGGGTCGATTAATACTGAGCAGCTGTGTAAGGGGTAGCTAACTTTGAATGCACTCAAGGCAGCGTTCCTTTGGAGATGGGGCAGAAGGAAGTTGCTGGGTCCTCGCCTTCTCATGGTGGGGCATACTGAGAATGCAGATTATTGAGAACACGGTTTTTAATAGCATTTCAGCGTTGGAAATGGGTGTGCATTTGTAACATTATTCACAATGGTTTTCACCTTTTGGTTTGGTTTTTCTTCTGCCCAGTTTTTGACATTTCCCCAACATGGTAAGCTGGTAGCAAGCCTAGGGTATAGAGGGGAAAGGGAGGGGGAAAGCAGTCTCTCGGTAGAAACAGAGATACCCAAAATACGTTTGCTGTCCTTGCAGTCCTCAAATTACGTGTTCTGTAGGGCAAAGCTCACCTTCCCAAACTGGGAGGGCAACGAGATTGGGCCCCAGCTGGGAGGAGTTGCAGGAGCAGCACCACTCCTGCCAGGGGGGCGCAGCCCTGCAGAGAGAGGTGGAGGTAGGGGTGAGGGGGCTCTGGTTTTGGGGCAGTTCTCTGGGTTCTAACAGAGTGAAGAGATCATGGCACAGTAATTCTGCCTTAGAAGCACCTTCAGAAGAAGAGGAGCACCGGTTTGTCGGGGAAGACGCTCATTTCGTGCAAAGCGATGCATTCAGAGTTAGCTGCCTTTCTGAAACAAAAACAGAAAAATACAAAAACTACTGTATGTTACTTTGAAAATGTGAATAGTATTTTTATAGCTTGTTAAAGACACAGCTAGTTGCATTTGTAAATAAGGATAATGTTGCTTTTATTTTCCTTGTGGTCACCATTATTTGGAACATAATCGTCCTTAGGGTTGATTTGTATATAGGTAATTTGCTTGTGATTTATGCGCTCCTTCCCCTTTTCTTTCTTCCCCTCCCACCCTCTGGTTTTGGTTAGAAATACCATTTTTGTCATTCTGTGGGATTCTGTGTTTTAGCACTATTGTGGTGTGTTCAGACTTTCTGCACTTGCTTACACAGTAGGGTATGCCAGTTGTGTGTGGCGTAACGTTACTTTAACCTTTCCTTTCTCATATTTTAGCTGTTGAGGATTACGCACTGTTAAGACACTGACCTGGGTTAATATTAGGTACATATTTTAGCATAATTTCCCTTCTTTTCACGGTTTCTCGTTTGTTTTCTTTCTCTTTTTTCCTTCCCTCCCCTTCTGTCTTGTTTGGAGGCTGGGGAGAAGCCTGCAGACCTTCTCTGTGTGTGGTTATACTTTGCCCCCCGTGTGCAGTCCCACGTTTCTCCTCATGGCCCTTGGGGTAGAGCTTAATCTGTTCGTTAAGGCAAATGTAGACTGCGACCCACCTTGCATCGACCCGCGCTCATCCCAGCTGAACAATTTGAAAACTGTTCTGCCTTTTTGTTACATGAATCTGTCAGAAATATATTTTTAATTTAATATAAATGAAATTCAATAAAATATGAAACAAAACTCCTCCGTGTGCGCGTGGAGTTTCTTGGCAGGGGGTTGAGCATCCCCAGCAACACGGAGGAGGCTGCTGGGAGGCGGGCCTAAATGGCTAAAGGACCCCAAAAGCAGCGCCCCCAAAGGCACGGCCCTATAAAGGTGCACCCCAGCACCGGGCCCGCTGCACGCAGCCCCCCAGCCCCACTTGGGGTTCAGTGTCCCCAAGAAGGTTGTATTTCCTGGGCAAAAGAAAAATGTTAATCTGGCAGCTATTTTCCAGTGAAACAGTGCTAATTAATGCCCGCTGCCACTCACCTCTGCAAGGCTGTTAGGTTCAGGTGTGGGAGCCGCTACTGAAAAGCGCACCCGAGCTCCTGCAAGCAGCTTCGTGCTGCACTGACAGCTGCAGGGGGGGTCAGCCCTGCCTGCCGTGGAGTAGGTGGGAATTATTCAGGTGCCTGGATGCGGTTTAGAACATACCAAACAGAACCTAAGAAGTAAAATATATAAAATATTATAAAATATTTAAGTATTGTAAAATATGATAAAAATATGATAAACTATTATAAAATTATACTATGAAATACAAAAGAAAATAATGGAAAATGAATAAAAGTTTTAAAAATTAAAAGGAAATAAAAAGAAAATGAAAAATAAAAAAATAATAATAATAATAAAAGGGAATAAAAATGCTAACAAAAAAGAAAAAATAAGGAGGAAATGGAAAAGAAAAAAATAAAAAGTAAAATAATAAAAATGAATTAAAAAAATGAAGAATAAAATAAAAAAAATAAATTAACAACTAAAAATAAAGATGAAAAATAAAAAGGAAATAAAAATAATGAAAAAAAAAGTAAATTTAAAAAAGGAAATAAAAATCAAAAATGGAAAAATAAAAATGAATAAATAAATAAAATTAAAAATAAATGAAGAAATAAAAAATAAAAAGGAAATTAAAAACAAAATAATGAAAAGGAAATAAAAACACTAATGAAAAATAAAAAATAAGAAAGAAATAGAAAAGAAAAAAATAAAAAATAATAAAAGAAGTGAAATAATAAAAATGAATTTAAAAACAAAATGAAAAATGAAATAAAAATAATAAATGAAAAATAAAAAATTAAAAGAAATAAAAATAAATTAAGAAATAAAAATAAAGACGAAAAATAAAAAGGCAGTAAAAATAAAAAATGAAAAATGGAAAAATAAAAACAAATAAATAAAAATAAATGAAAAAAAGAAATAAAAAGGAAATTAAAAACAATAAAAGAATAAAAAGGAAATAAAAATGCTAACGAAAAAGAAAAAATAAGGAGGAAATAGAAAAGAAAAATAAAAAATAATAGAAACGAAGTAAAATAATAAAAATGAATTACACAAAAAGAAAAACGAAATAAAAATAAATGAAAAATAGAAAATTAAAATAAAAATAAATTAACAACTAAAAATAAAGACAAAAAATAGAAAGGAAATAAAAATAAAAATGAAAAAAAAATAAAAAGTAAATAAAAAATGAAAAGGAAATAAAAATAAAAAATGAAAAATGGAAAAATAAAAAGGGAATAAATACATTAAAATTTAAAATAAATGAAAATATAAAAAGAAATAAAAAGGAATTTAATAAATAATAATAAAAATAATTATTAAATAATAATTAGTAAATAATAAAAATAATAAAAGCAATAAAATAATAAAAAGTAAATTAAAAAAAAACAAAAATAAAAACCTAAAAATAAATATGAAAATAAAAGTAAAAAATAGAAATAAAAATAAATTAAAAATAAAAGAAAACTAAAAAATGAAATAAATAAAAATAAAACAAAAAAGTAAAATAAAAAGGAAATAACAAAATAAAAATAAATTAACAAAAAATAAACATTTAAAAATTAAAAATAAAGAAAAAATAATAATAATATAACATTAAAAAAATAAGTGAAATGAAAAAGAAAATAAAACTAAATTTACAATTAAAAGAATAAAAAATTAGATTAAAAACTTGAAAATAAATAAAAACGAAATCAATAAAAAATGAACAAATAAGTAAAAAATAAAAGAAAAAAACCAATCTGAATCCTACCTCACTGCTAAGGCCCGCTCCTGCAGACCTCCTGTACCATGCATGTTCAGCAGCACAGCTGAACAGCCTGCACAGCAGCTTTGTCCCACCAGCCGTGAGCTGCAGCCCCACGCACAGAGCTCAGCAGGCAGAGCTGCTGCTTTCTGCACTTGCCTGCATCCCTGCTTTAAGGCCCAGCATCCAGCAGGCAGGGGAATTCGGTTCTACTGTTTCAGTAACGGTGGATCAGCCCTAAACCCACCCAGGTCTCTTCTCAGTTTGCAATCATACAACCGAAAGCTACTAAGAAGAGACTGACTATCCCATTTAAAACAAGCAGAAAGCATCAATTAAAACCCATCGGGTGATAATAAACCCAGCCACTCGAGGTGGCTGCATGCTGCTAAGTCACAGCGGCTGAAGGTGTTCCCTTTATCGATGCTCTGATCGGCTCAGGAAGAATTTTGGAAGTTGCTGCCTGAAGCTTGAAAAGTCAAAAACAGTGAAGGACAACCAATGAGCTCCATCATCTGCTCCTAATACTTCCTCAACTTCATCTCTCTGCCCATCCCACAGCAGATGCAGGCTGTGCAATGCAGCCACTGCTGCAGGCCTCTGCCTGTCCCCACTGACAGCCTCAGCCGCTGGCTCCTGCCAGCCTTCCAGGGTCCCCCCTGGGGACACGGTGGGACACAGTGACCATAGGGGTCTCCAGGAGGCTTAGCGCAGCGCTGGGCTCCAGGATAGGCCATGCATGAGACTCTGGTGGGTACATACGTATAGGTTTAACAGTGAGGATGCAATGCTGTAACATTTTTTTAATTTGTTCTACAGTTTAAAGTGCAGTGAGCCTTTGTGAGCAGTGCAGAAAGCATGCCTGCCTGCAAAGGCAAGGCCGTCTGGGGAAAGCGTGTAAAATAAGCAGCGTGGGTAGAGCAAGAGTCCCAGGAGAAGCTTCTGTGGGGAGAGGGGTGGAAAAAGAGGTACCAGGGCAGGAACTGGCTGGGAACAGTGCTGTGAGTGGCTGTGGGTGAGGCCTTACCTGAAAGGTGGATCTGTGGTCCGAGCCCTCCATGCTGGCAATTTGGTACAAAAAAAGCTGCGCTGGAAGCACATCTTCCCCAGTCACTCTCGTGACACAGTAACTAGATGTTGGCCAGCGAAAATGCCAGGAGCATTTTGGATTAAGTCAACCAAAACATTTTATTGAGCCCTTTGAAAATTCAGTGACGTGATTGGAGCGGGGTATAGAGTTGTTTTAGCTCCTGCACAGACATCCCAGGCAGGTACTGGGGACAGCGGAGTCACTGTGACCGCGTCCCCGCTCCTTCCCTCTTGCCCCTAAGAGGGGATCGACGGTTCTCTCAGTCTGCTCCTTCCTTCAGCAAAACTGAGTATGAAGGCTTCCCAGAAAGAAGGCCAAGCCACCCAACATCTCAAGCCTTTGCTCCTTACTCAGCAACCACGCAGAAACACAGGCAGATGGAGAACACATGAGATGGGCATCACGACACGACGGGGGTGTGAGAGATTAACCTGAACGGCCCCTCACTTCAGGGGACAGCCAACACTCCGTGGTGCCAAACAGTTGTGCATACTCACCCCGATGTTCCTGTTGTGTACAACACAGGGGCAGTTGCTAGAGGCCACCAGAGTGGCAGCAGAGGTGCCGAGAGCACAAGCAGGTAGCAAGAGGACTGCAGAAGCAAAAGAGGTATTAAACGTGAGTTAAATGTGATAATTTTTCCCAAGTGTTTGCCAAAAAAAGCATTACCAACACCAAGGGGAGATGTGCAGCAGCCCAGTCTTAGCAGAGCCCAGCTGCTGGCCCCACACCCTGCTCCTTCCTATCGTGGGCCAGCAGCAAAATGAGTCTAAGGCTGCCTCTGAACCCCCAACCCTTCAGACCAAGCTGCTGTGCTGAATCAGGCCCACGGCACCGGGAGGCAACATTTGGGAAGCAGGAACTGATCGTTTCATTTAGCATAAACGGCCTAAACAGCATAAATTGTTTCAGGCAAGGCTATGTTCATCTCTGATAAATCCTCACCTCACCCTCTCCCCTATTTTGTGCTTTTTTTTTTCTGCCAAGAAAAATCCTTGCTATTATAATGCAAAAGAAGCCTGTATGAATTGCTCCCTGCAAAGCTCAGCCTGTAAACAAGATCGTAGCACCAAGGGAACAAGTCACGGCTCCCTTTCAGGCATCCCCGCAGTAATCTGCTTTTGTCCCCATTATGCAGGACACGTGTTGCAGGGCCCCACGCGAGAGCCCTGTGCAGAGCCGAACAGAGGAATTACAGCAAAGAAAACCTTTTGTTCCCATAGAATAGAAACTGTCCTCATTTTTCAGACCTTTCTACCCAAGTGCACTCCTGGCAAGACAGGGAGCAGGACTGGGGAGGGCAGGAGGGCTGAGCTGCACGACAAGCCAGCCGATCTCTTTCACCACATGCCGTATAGCACCTGCCTCCTCCGTTTCTCTGCCTCTCTCCTTCAGGTTCACACCGAGCTGGGGAGCACAGCACTGCCACTCCTTCCCCAGCAGCTGAACCACGGCTGAAGGCATCACGTGCCAAGCCTCGCTGGCACATGAAGGTGTTCAGACACCTTCCTGTGCATACTCACGGTCCATGCAGCACTGCAGGAGCTGGGAAACACACGGGCTGGATGCTTTCTTTATATCACTTAATCAGGTGCCCTATGAAGCAGTTTACCGTGTTGTTTGCATGCCCATTGCTCCTCGTTTGCTATGTATGCACAGCTTTCCCAGGAGTTTTGTTTCCTTTTTCTATTACTTTTTTAAGGTAGCAGTTGCCAGGTTTGAGCTTCCCTGTCATTAGCTGCACCGAATGCCACAGTGGTGGTTTGTTTCAAACAAGAGTTGTGGCACCCCAGAGTCCTGTCAAGCCAAGGAAAATGAACTGCAGTTAATGAATACGTGCTTAATATGGCGTAACACTAAATAGAGACAAATCAGCCTTACCTGAAGGCTACGATTCTATGAAAGGCCGCCCTCTCCATCCGCTTGGTATTGCTGATGGTTTCCATGCAGGAATCAGGAGCCGTGGCAGGAAGCAGGGACCGCAATGCCCGGGAGAACTTGGTGAAGTGGTCAATGCTGCAATAGTTAAGGTAAGTTGTCACTCTCCAAATTGCACAGGGCCCAGAAAGCAGAGGTGGGTACCACTGCGCAGGCGGGCAGCTTCTTTTCAGTCAAATATAGAGGAGAAACAACGGAGGATGTTTCCCGTCACATTAGAAATACTCTACAGCTGTTAACAAAGAAAAAAGAGGAGGAGAGGAGATATTTTAGAAGCTATTATTTGAATATTGTACTTTCAAATGGTATCTTGGGACTAATTTTGAGGAATAAGGGTTGGGGCGAGGGTTAGAACCAAAGGGACTTTGTATTGAAAATAGGGGGCAGGTAAAAGCTGTCTCAGCAAGCCGATGCCAGAGCTGCCAAATACATCCCAACCTCCCGATTTCCAGGCCAGGATCCTTGCCAAAGAAGCGACAAGCTGCACTGTAGCAGCTTGTACCAGCAGAAATGGCCCTGAAGCCCTGGGGTTGTGCTTGTTGCTTGTCCAGGACATTTCTATACTACTGCTAACAACAGAAACTTCAGATTTCTACCTTTCTCTGAGTGCAGACAGCCCTGGAAACCACCAGACAGCTCTTCTTGCGGCTGCCACCAGCACAGGCTTCACCACGTCTGAAAAACACATCATTGCAAACTCATTTCCTCCCCTGCCTCATTTGTGGCAGGAGGCTGGGGCTGCTGCTAAGGGCTAACGGAGGGGCCTCTGAGGACACTGCCACATTCCAGCACAGCTGGAGGCTTTTCTTCAAATACCAGGAGCTGCATTTTTCAATACCAGCAGCATACGGGACATGACCACAAATGAGAATTTCTGCAAGGTACAGCGCCCAGTACATTATAGAGGACCTCCAGGGTAAGCTGGAATAAAACCTCTCCTCTGCAGCAGAGCACAAGTGCTCAGACTTGCTTGGTGACAGCAGAGGTCACTGTGGTTGCCCGGGAAGAAGAACGGCCTCTGTGGGGTCCCCAGCCACCTCCTCTGCCCAGACTCACCTTCCAGCTCCATGAGACCGCAGCACACTCATACTCACGTTGAGAGGGAAAAACAGCAGGAGGGCAGAGGCCAAAGGAAACCTGCCTGCAAATGGCACACACCAGCTTGAGGAAGGGACGAAGAGGGGGGAGCAGCAGTCCCACGGGGCCGAATTTCCCTGAACCAGCAGCACTGTGTTGCAGGTGTTGGGTTCCCCAACCTTCCCGAGGTCCTCACGCTCACTGCTCACACATAGGATACCTGATAGAAAATCAGGAGCTTTCTGTTCACACCATGCACTGACAGCTTGCTCAGAGCAAGAGAAAACCAACCAGCCCATTGCCTCCTTGCTATGCTTGTGTTTTCCTCTGTGCCCATGCGGATCCCTCATCCACAACCTCTTTTCTTGTATGGTGGGTTGAAGATCCCCCTGATCGGATGCTTCCCCAGGGAGGTCAACAAAGAGTCCATCGTAAGAATGGAGCAGGGACAGTCTCCATCCCAAAGTTCATCTGGTCTAAAACTTCTTCTATTGGCTGGAAAGCACCGAGTGAGGGAACAGAAAAGAACCGGGTCTGCTGGGAGGCAAAGGACAGCCTATTAAACTCTCCACACACACATAAACAAGGACATCAGTAGCAAAAGCCTGTGACATTTCAGTTAGGAAAAAAAAAAAACCAAAGGCATCTATTTTCCTCTGCGCCCCATACTGCCCAATCTGAAAAAGAGACAGGGATGACTTTTCAACTTAATTAATAACGCAAGACCTGAGGAAGGGGCGAGTTGTGCAGAATCCAGCGTAAGGGAGACTGCAAAGAGACGGATTTGCTGATAACACAGCCCTTAGAAAACAAGCTTCTGCTGTTCCCCTCTGGACACCACGTCTGTTGCCTACGGGGGCAATCAGTTAAATCCCTTAGGCTGCTTTGGCAAATCCACGCTGGCTGTCATACGGGCTGCAGACAGGAAAGCAGCAGACTGTTATCTAATGGAAAATATGAGGAAGTTGTAGGAGTCGATGCTTTAAAATTGAACAGAATAGGGGCTGTTCTTCCTATATGCCTGTTGTCTTGAATGAAGCAAGTACGATGAGCATACGTGTGTTTCTTGGCTGTTACAGCATTCTTCGTCACATTGTACTCCGTTAAAAAAAGTGAAATCGTGTGTCTTTTCTAAGATTTTTGGCAGTATTTCAATGTATTTTATTTCCACTAACGTCCCTCTATAAATCAGACATTAAATCTTTCCTGTTGCAGAGTAAGCAGAAATGGTGCGAGATTAAACAGAGTGAAGCATCGCCAATTGGAAGGAAACCTTCAGATCAGAAACTAAATAATAGACCAGATGCTGACTGGCTTCAGCTCCAACCCCTTGCAGGTAGGCATTTATTTTCATCGTTTGTTTCTGACTGTGAGATTCGCAGTGACGACACGTAACTTCTGGCACGTAGCACGCCACCTCTCGTGCAGTTGCGCTGCTGTTATGTAAATCGCTGTTAATAACACTCGTTAGGCTTTCCTTGCATTATGTATTTTGTTTTTCTAAGATCTGAGAGCGCTGCAAATGCTTCCTGATACGCCCTGCTAGCGGTTCTCAGACTTCTGAGGCAGTCAGGGTTTTGGGCGGACGTGACTCTCTGGTTCTGGGAGGAGTTTTCCGGTGAAGCTAGCTCAGCCCTGGTGAAAACTAACACGTGTGACCCGAAGGAGTATAATCTGTGACATTTCAGAGATTCCAGTCTCTGACCAGTTACCGTTTGGCTGAGAAGGCCAAGCGAAAATAATTTCTGTCAATAAACATAATGGAGAGTCTCGGTGTATGGGAACTGCTGAGTCACAGCCTGAAACTCTGATTGATCACCTGCAGAGAGCCATGAGTCAGCCAGAGGAGCACAGGTGAAGGCAATTCAGCTGTGCTGCCCGAAGGGGTACAGCCTGGCTCCACCCCTCCTAGACCTATTTAAGAGCTGGCTACCAGTGGGGAAGGATCACTTCTGGAGATCGCCTCTACTGGTGTTTTGTGGTGAGCCCAGGATAGGGGTAAGCCCTCCATTTATTCTCTTTTGTTATCATAGTCTACTTTGCTTAACTCTCTTGTTTATTTTGTGATTATAACATCCTTCTATTCTTTGATTATACAGACGGTAATCACAGGAAGTGGCATTCACATCTTCGGCGATGGCTTAGCAATAGGTAAGCAAAACCAATGAGCGTTTCTCAGCAGTTTCTTACCTTGAGTAACTTGGGTAGTATTTTATAAGCGATCACAGGACAGATCTCCCTGTCTCCAAAGGCTAGCGGCACTGTTAAATCACTGCAGGCATTAAAAGGTCATCAGCTCTGATAATCTCTGCTCTATTGTCTGTTTCCACCGAGATTACTTTCTTGATATCAGCGACAGTAGCGATCTCTGTCAAATTGAGATAGGCACAGAGAAAATTCCTTAGGGATTGAGGAATACCCAAAAAACACACGTTGGTTGTTTGGGTCTCAGTATTTACTTTAGAATAAGAAACAAGAAATTCTTTAGAATTGTATTTGCTTAGGATTGTAAATATTTGCAATAATATTATTTTGTTAATAACAGTACGTAAGCAGTACTTTTAATTAACATACTGTGAGTCCAGTTGTTGTGTCTCCTCCTCCTATGCTTTTAAAAAAACAAAAAAACAAAAAAACAAAAAACAAACAAAAAAAAAAAAAAAAAAACAACTAAGCAAAGTAAACAGTGGTGCAGTTTTCCCCTTTGGCCTTTCAGTCTCTGTTTCACATTCTTTTTTCAGGTTCTGCTGTTGGGTTCAGCTAGGTAATAATGTACACAGCGTTAATGCCCACCAGGGTACTTCCGGTGCAATCAAAAAGTATCAGCATGTGTGTTTTAAAAAAGGTGATGAGTCTGTTGATTAAAATTTGCTGATTGGAGAATAGTAACTGTCTGGGAACTGCTGAATCACAGCCTGAGCCTCCTACTGATCCCCTGAGGAGAGCAATGAGTCAGCCACAGGAGCACAGGTGAAGGCAATTCACCAGTGGAGCCTGGCTCCACCTCTCCTAGACCTATTTAAGAGCTGACTACCAGCAGGGAAGGATCTCTTCTGAAGATCTCCTTCCATGGAGTTTCATAGCAAGCCCAGGATACAGGTAAGCGTTCTATCTATTCTCTTTTGGTGTATAATAGCTGCTTAGGCAAATGCTGGGATATATTTCATAATTACAACATCTGTACATGCATTGATTATACAGTAACATAGGATTTGTATCTTTTCTTTCTTTTTTTCTTTCAGGAGCAGCTTTTAGTGCTGGTCTGACAGGAGGAATTAGTACATATATAGCAGCATTTTGTCACAAGCTGCCCCGTGAATTAGGTAATGAATTTTATAAAACCAGTACTTCCTATAAAAGACCAAATAAATGCATGTGTGTAATTTCTGTCGTGATGCTCCTCCCGATAGCTAGCAGATAGCTGCAGTTGCAGTTTTTTCTCGGGTGCTAGCTTATCATGTCGAAACCTGTGCTTGTCTCGCAGAGGCAAATGGCTGCATAGTAGAGAATAACTCCTCGTGCAGATACAGATGTCTTGCGATAGCCTATAGTTACTGGATACCAGCTAGTTTCCTGTAAGTTCTGTGCTCATGCTTTTTTTTCCTTGATGTACTTCGACTGAAGAATGTATAAAGGAAGGCAATGCTTTTACTCTACAGTATTTTTATTCTTGGTCCTTTTTCTTAGGCACGCTAGCGTTCAATATAGTTTAACTCTAAACAAGAGCAGGAGCTCCTCTGCAACATACACCTGAAACAGCACCGAGTTCATGTTATTACGACACCTTAACCTGCCTTCCTCTCTAAGTCCCTGTTTTCTGACACCTAACAGGAACGGTATTTAATAGTTTTGTAGGTCAGCTGAAGTCTACTAAGGGGCGACTGACCTTCCAGTATTCCTGCGTATGATGGAAGTTCATCTAATTAGGTATATTTCTACATTTCTACAATATAGTTTTCTCTTAGTTGAGAGGAGGTAGAACCTGAATTCAACTCAGGGAATCTTCAATCCTTAAGGCTCTCCATGACCTTCTGCTGTCACTTAGGTCAAGATGACTTGAATTCTATTCTTACTGTAAAATTATATGTGTTTTATACTTTATATTATGTATTTTTGAATGAATTATATATACATATACATATACATAATTTATAATATATAATATATAGTTATGTAACATACATATTATAAAAAAAGTTGTATTCCTTATTTCTCACATCTCTGCAAGAAACTATAAATTCTCAACTGTAAGATGTGTATTGACTAGTCTTAATGCCCGGACACTGGAATAGGTCCTATCAAGAGCCTATAAATTGAGAAGTTCAGTAATCTGTAGCAGAGATGAGCAATTTACATACTGGTGTGTATATTTTCTACGTTTAAATTTTCGTTAGATCGAATTGTCAGTTTATGTATCTTTGTGAAATACAGTAAGGCAAGAGCAAACAGGCAATAAATGAATCATTTTAGCTGATGGTCTGGTAATTTGTTTATGTTGTACCGTATTCAGATACTTGGAATAGCCAGAACAGTTATAGCCTATTTTACAAAGAGCTACAATAAAGGCTTTTGCTCTCTACTGGCTGAAGTTTATGTTTGATCTGGGTAATGTTTCGTTTTACTCTCAAAATGGTTTACGAATAAATGAATTGACAGAAACACAAGGTAAACAAAGGAAATCCTTTTAAGTTACCTTAGTCTTGCCTAGTGGTCCTGTAAGGCGTTTTGGAAGATTTATTTTTAAGTCTTCCACATCTGCGTTTACTTAGCACTTTTGTCAGTACTGTTTGATGTTTTCCTTGCAGTTGAGTAACAGGCCCAGCTTTCAGAGCTTTCTAAAGACGTCTGTGAAATTCTTCCTGAATTACATGTGGCGTGCATGATGAACCTCGCTATTCTCAGACCTGTGTGAATATACGTAACGCATACAACAAGACAAAGGGCTGAGTTAGAGGACCGAGTCTTTAAAGCCACTTGGCTACTTTAAATTGAGTAAATAAACTTGAAAGAGCAGACCGAGAGAATACTGGACTGGACCCTGATATTAGAAGTTTAGCTAGATGCCTGATCCAGGAAGAGCCGTAGGAGCGCCTGGTGCAGAAGAGTTTTCATTGGCCTAGTAAATACAGGATGCGTTTGAGACAGTTTTTCTAAAATACAGTAATTGGGTATACTTTCAAGTATGTTTTAGTGGCTTGTTTTTATAACTAAAACCTCAATTGCTTATTCTTTATCCATTAATATCATCTTGTAAAATTGCCAGTGATTAAATAGAATAGTTGTGAAATAACTTCATTTTAATGGCTTTTCTTTTTAGCTTCAAGGAATGCTTCACGGAGACGGAGATAAGAAGAGCACGGTTATTGTCCGGCGGAGTGGTTTGTTATACAGAACTTAGGCCTGCTTCTTGGATTTGCTATCATGCTGGTGATTGCCCTCTACGAAGGTGAAATTGTGCTTAACATCCAGTTTTGACCGTATGCCAGGTTTCGCTGCGGATACCATGTTATTACTGTACGACTTGGAGTCTGCACTGTTTCACTGTATGCACATAGCTTAGAGGAGAAGCAGCAGCTTGCACTACTTAGGCAAGTACATCCAATTCATTTCCGTGTGTGTAATCTGGTGCATTTTTCCGATTCAAATCAGATGAGATGGCCCGAAAGCATCTTCTAAACTCCACTGAGTGGCAATTGGGAAATAGTAAATTCCAGAAATAAATGCTAAGTTCAGCGTGCTGCTTGCTTATATAAAAAAAGACAGCGAAGGATGTACATGCTTAGGAAAAAAGAATTTCTTATGTGGTTTACCAGAACCCAGAAAATTTTACAGCTGAAAATCATACCTATGAAAGGAACCTGAGTACGCTTTCAGTACCGCGAAAGTCTTAAGCAGCAGGCATATATATGTATATATGTACACACACACACGTATACATTTATATATGTATCTTCTTTTATCTGTGTGTATGTAGGCGTTTGCGTGAGTAGCGCTGGTTACTCTGCAAAGTGGTCACCTGAAGTATTAAATCATAATGAAAACAGATGAGTGGAAACCACTGTGCTGCCTTAAATATTAGGAAAAAGAGAAAGCCAAAACAGTAAGCTGCACTCCCTCTTTTTAACTTCAAGTGTAAGAAGGCAGGCTGTTGCAATATACGCCACAAAGTGCTACAATGTCCTGTCGAGGATCGCTTTGAAGGTGTTTTCTTGACTAAAATTGGTTCGGTGTTTGTTCTTAGATATAGCAGGAAAATGCAATTGGAATGTTTTCTCCTAGGTTGAAGTACAACAAACATGCTAGTTAATAAATGAGGGCTCAAAGGCTAAAATACACCACGTGCATGCAGGGTTACTTACTGTACTCTGTTTCAATAGTGCCTCAATATCAGTTGTAGCGGCACCAACAGTTTCTGTGGTTGAGGCTAAGAGGATTTCTACTTCTAGCGTAAATTAGTTTGTTTACATGTTTTGTTGTTTGTTTTTTTTTGTTTTTTTTTTTTGAGGATTTTAGTATTTTTTTTATTATTATTAAAAAGCAAATGACTTAATTTCTAAGGATAGATTGGAAGTTTTTGGCCTTGACATGCTGGGAGCATGTCCCGTCGCAGATTTTGCTGAGATGGTTATTCTGCCACACAGGAGCGAGTTCTTCTTGTACTGTTATGTCATTAAGGAAAAATAAACTGAGTTGTTGAGGAGCACAAGTCGATTCTGTAGTTCCACTCATAATCATGGAAGTAGGCTTAAGGGTCAGTTCGAAATAATAACGCCGTTTCTTTGGTGAAGAAGCCGAAACACAGAGTTGAGACACACGGCCACTTGATGCTGAGAACTCATCAGCTCATTAGTTTTCCTCTCCAAAAAGACTTACCGTCGGACCCAGATCAGCAAGTGTGGTGTTACAAGCTTTGGTTTGCTAAATTTGTGCAGCACTAAGTGCCTAGGTGACACATGTTTACTCTGTGCTCGCAGTACATCCCTGAGTACCATTTTCTAAGGGACTTTAGTGATGGGATAATTACTGAGGATCTTAGCTTCGATAACTTCTGTTGCCTGTTTACCGAACTGATGCTTAATTGTAATTTTTTCTCAACTCTGTCAAGTGTAAAGGGGCCATGTGGTCTAACCAAAGTTTAGGTCAATTTGTTTTTTAGTAAGTTTATTTCTTTTAATAAGTTTCAAATGAAAAATTACTTCAGGTAGCATTTTTGCTTTGGTACCGGTTGGAGTATGGTTTTAGCTTAATACGCTGCCAGCTTAGGAAAATATTCACCTTCCTTTCGAGACAGTTTTCAGACAAGGGAAAACACCATCCATCAAGGCAGGTACTGGATTTTTTTCATTAAATACATCTGTTGCTTGTCTTCCATTTTGTATTTATTTATTACAACTTTGTAATAATTACTTTTGTAACATATTTATTACAACTTATGAAGGCCAGTGTGACACCAGTGACTTTGTCTGTAGGTTTTCCACCGATACTGAAATTCAGATTGTTCGCAGGTACACTTATAAGTCACGTTACAGACAATCCGAATTCCACTACATTTCTGCTTGGTTTGTACATTCCACTCTGCCAAATCCAGAGTCTTAGCTAACTTTTATTTTAGGGCATGTTATTTGTGTATTAAAATGCTGTCACAGTGTGACATCCCATACGGATTTTGATGTCGATCACATTGCACTCGATCTGCTGTGATTAAGCCTAGGAATACTGTTGTTGCTAGACTCAGCGTGATTATATATATGTTTTTTTTTTTTTAATAAAAAAATCTTCTGTCAACGGTTGAGTCTACGGTTTCTAATGTGATTATGATCCTATAAGATACAGCCGAGCTATCGGTCTTATTGTTATCATTATTACTTTTTCAATTTTACAAAGCTGGAAAAGATCTAATGCAGGAGCAGATGCTCTTGCTGGCTTTCATGAGGTTTTAATGTGCAATCCTGACTTTTATACATCACGAATTGCAACGTGCAAAATGGTTTTTGCTTTTTCATGAGTACTTTTATATGTATATTGACTTACCTTTTGATATTGCAGCCATTCAGGACTGACACGTGTTCCTCACAGGTGATCTAGTAAAGGAACCCTCAGTAATTGCAGTAGGTTTGTGAAATAAGCTGACAAAATAACGTTTGATTCAGTGTTCCTGCGGTTTGTTGGAAGGAAGGGTCCTCGCAGTGACAAAGTCGGTGGAATGGCCAGTGGTTGACAGGATTCCTCTTCGCTCACTGGTCTTGTACACTGGAGCCAGGTAACTGCGTGGTTGTGGAACATCTGCTTTCTTACAGGGCTTTAACCATATCTGCAGCAAAGAATGATAATCCTTTTAACATTCTCTTTTCAAAAAAAGAAGAAAAGGGGGTAGGGGTGGGGGGGAACAGAAGGGTGAGAAACATTCTCAGTTGGGCCTAAGTATTTTTGAGAGCGGTGTTTGTTTTTTGGCAGATGAGCCTGAAAACCTGCTTTTTGTTCAATCTTGTCTTAGCAGATGGCTTCCTTGAACAAAATTGGCAACGCCAAACATACTGTTGTTACTTGTAGATGCTTGTCATGGTTTTAGGTTTTTTTGGGGTTTCAGTATTCCACATCAAAACATCAGGTAGTGTATGACGCATTAAAGCGTTAATGCCCCAATTGCAGGTACCTACCCATGTACATCACAGAAGTCACGGGGTCTAGCCCTTCTGGGTGGGGGGTGAGATCTTACTGCCTTGCAGTGGGTGCTGGAGGTGCTTTCGTAGTCGTTCCAAGCTTTTCAGGTTTGACTCGGTCCCGAGAACTCACACATTTTGTCTGATTTTTTAGTCTCAATTCCAATTAAACTGTATTATATTGTGTTATCTTGTATACTGATATAGTAGAATAAGGTTTCCTTCACAGATTGTTGCTGTTGTTCTTTCCCTCACTTCCTTCCTTCAAGGCTACTAACTTCTGAGTTACCCTGTTGCTCGCTTAAAGGTAGCCACTTAGGTATTCAATCCACAGGATTTGTTCACACACAATACTATAGGAATGCTACAAATTGTAATACTTACTCTCCACAGGCACCATAAGGTAGAGGGTTTTTGGATGATAATCTCCTAGCTTTTTAGTTTCTCTGTTCCACTGTGCTCCATCCAAGAACAGTCCCTGGACGTAGACCTAAATGGGATGCATAAGAGAACACGTTACAGGAATGCTGGATGGGTTTTCAAACTGCAAGCAGCAGCCCGTGCAGCAGGCTTTGCTGTCAGCTGATTGACTGTGTGGGCCTCAGTCAACTTGAGTGTTTGAAACGGATAACCTTTCTTACACAGAGTTAAAATGTTACATAATTACAATTTCATAAAGCATTAGGAAGCTGTGGAGTCCACCAGTAGCGCGGCATGTCTGGTCTTGAACAAACATTAAGGCAGTTTTAAAATTCAAAATTAAAATTAATAGGACATCATTTTCACACAGGTCAGCATAAGCTCCTGCGCATACAATGTGTACTACTAACTTCCATTGTTTTTTTTTCAGAGGCGATGTGATGGGATCCCAAAGAGCCTTTCAGTAGGTCTACTTGGTTGTTTCAAAATCTAACTCATTTAAAACTTCAAATTAAGGTGGGGTTGGTTTTGTTTGTTAGTTAGCTTCTTAACATTATTTTTAAATAGAATAAAGTAAGAAGTAATAAATATATGTAAACTTCAATATGAATTATCATAATATAAATATAAATTATAAAGAAAAAATAAAAAATGACAAAAAACAACTCAGAAACCAAGATGAAAAGTTATAACTGAGGGGGCGATGTTCTCCTAGGCACATTTACACGACACGCAGGCCAAGGGATTCTCTACAAAGTATTAAAAAGAGCACGATTATTTTCACTTCCGCTTAAGCCTTGGCGTAACAAACTCTTCAGTTGACTGCTTCTTTATACTGAAGACAGGAGACAGACCAAGTAGATCATAAGAAAGCAGTTCTCTAATGCTCATTGTAGTCATATCCACAACCTCCTATACGAGAGGTAGCAAAGCAACTGCAGGCAACAGCACCTGGCATCGCTTTTAGTGGTTAAGGAAAATACTGTAAGTTATATAACAGAAAAAATAAAGGTAAACTAAAAAGTCTAGAAAGTTTTACTAGCAGGGGGAAGCTGGATGGTAAGAACTACAATTAAAAAAGATCAGTATAAAATAACGAAATGAATGAGGGAAAAACTGGAAATAAAAGAGAGCAAGTTAAAAACGCTTGGAAGTATTATTTGCGAGGGGGGAGGTGGGGATGTGGGGAATTGGAAGGGAGGGGGGGGAACAAGGGGGCTTGGGGGGGAACTTGAGAGAGACGGGGGGGAATTGGGTGGGAGGTGGAGGGATTTAGTGGGGATCGGGAGGCACTTGGTGTGAGAAGGATCGAAGGATCGAAGGAACGAAGGATCGAAGGAACGAAGGATCGAAGGAACGAAGGATCGAAGGATCGAAGGAACGAAGGATCGAAGGAACGAAGGAACGAAGGAACGAAGGATCGAAGGAACGAAGGAACGAAGGAACGAAGGATCGAAGGAACGAAGGAACGAAGGATCGAAGGATCGAAGGAACGAAGGAACGAAGGAACGAAGGAACGAAGGAACGAAGGATCGAAGGATCGAAGGATCGAAGGAACGAAGGAACGAAGGAACGAAGGAACGAAGGAACGAAGGATCGAAGGAACGAAGGAACGAAGGAACGAAGGAACGAAGGAACGAAGGATCGAAGGAACGAAGGAACGAAGGAACGAAGGAACGAAGGAACGAAGGAACGAAGGATCGAAGGAACGAAGGAACGAAGGAACGAAGGAACGAAGGATCGAAGGAACGAAGGAACGAAGGAACGAAGGAACGAAGGAACGAAGGATCGAAGGAACGAAGGAACGAAGGAACGAAGGAACGAAGGATCGAAGGAACGAAGGAACGAAGGAACGAAGGAACGAAGGAACGAAGGAACGAAGGATCGAAGGAACGAAGGAACGAAGGAACGAAGGAACGAAGGAACGAAGGAACGAAGGAACGAAGGAACGAAGGAACGAAGGAACGAAGGAACGAAGGAACGAAGGAACGAAGGAACGAAGGAACGAAGGAACGAAGGAACGAAGGAACGAAGGAACGAAGGAACGAAGGAACGAAGGAACGAAGGAACGAAGGAACGAAGGAACGAAGGAACGAAGGAACGAAGGAACGAAGGAACGAAGGAACGAAGGAACGAAGGAACGAAGGAACGAAGGAACGAAGGAACGAAGGAACGAAGGAACGAAGGAACGAAGGAACGAAGGAACGAAGGAACGAAGGAACGAAGGAACGAAGGAACGAAGGAACGAAGGAACGAAGGAACGAAGGAACGAAGGAACGAAGGAACGAAGGAACGAAGGAACGAAGGAACGAAGGAACGAAGGAACGAAGGAACGAAGGAACGAAGGAACGAAGGAACGAAGGAACGAAGGAACGAAGGAACGAAGGAACGAAGGAACGAAGGAACGAAGGAACGAAGGAACGAAGGAACGAAGGAACGAAGGAACGAAGGAACGAAGGAACGAAGGAACGAAGGAACGAAGGAACGAAGGAACGAAGGAACGAAGGAACGAAGGAACGAAGGAACGAAGGAACGAAGGAACGAAGGAACGAAGGAACGAAGGAACGAAGGAACGAAGGAACGAAGGAACGAAGGAACGAAGGAACGAAGGAACGAAGGAACGAAGGAACGAAGGAACGAAGGAACGAAGGAACGAAGGAACGAAGGAACGAAGGAACGAAGGAACGAAGGAACGAAGGAACGAAGGAACGAAGGAACGAAGGAACGAAGGAACGAAGGAACGAAGGAACGAAGGAACGAAGGAACGAAGGAACGAAGGAACGAAGGAACGAAGGAACGAAGGAACGAAGGAACGAAGGAACGAAGGAACGAAGGAACGAAGGAACGAAGGAACGAAGGAACGAAGGAACGAAGGAACGAAGGAACGAAGGAACGAAGGAACGAAGGAACGAAGGAACGAAGGAACGAAGGAACGAAGGAACGAAGGAACGAAGGAACGAAGGAACGAAGGAACGAAGGAACGAAGGAACGAAGGAACGAAGGAACGAAGGAACGAAGGAACGAAGGAACGAAGGAACGAAGGAACGAAGGAACGAAGGAACGAAGGAACGAAGGAACGAAGGAACGAAGGAACGAAGGAACGAAGGAACGAAGGAACGAAGGAACGAAGGAACGAAGGAACGAAGGAACGAAGGAACGAAGGAACGAAGGAACGAAGGAACGAAGGAACGAAGGAACGAAGGAACGAAGGAACGAAGGAACGAAGGAACGAAGGAACGAAGGAACGAAGGAACGAAGGAACGAAGGAACGAAGGAACGAAGGAACGAAGGAACGAAGGAACGAAGGAACGAAGGAACGAAGGAACGAAGGAACGAAGGAACGAAGGAACGAAGGAACGAAGGAACGAAGGAACGAAGGAACGAAGGAACGAAGGAACGAAGGAACGAAGGAACGAAGGAACGAAGGAACGAAGGAACGAAGGAACGAAGGAACGAAGGAACGAAGGAACGAAGGAACGAAGGAACGAAGGAACGAAGGAACGAAGGAACGAAGGAACGAAGGAACGAAGGAACGAAGGAACGAAGGAACGAAGGAACGAAGGAACGAAGGAACGAAGGAACGAAGGAACGAAGGAACGAAGGAACGAAGGAACGAAGGAACGAAGGAACGAAGGAACGAAGGAACGAAGGAACGAAGGAACGAAGGAACGAAGGAACGAAGGAACGAAGGAACGAAGGAACGAAGGAACGAAGGAACGAAGGAACGAAGGAACGAAGGAACGAAGGAACGAAGGAACGAAGGAACGAAGGAACGAAGGAACGAAGGAACGAAGGAACGAAGGAACGAAGGAACGAAGGAACGAAGGAACGAAGGAACGAAGGAACGAAGGAACGAAGGAACGAAGGAACGAAGGAACGAAGGAACGAAGGAACGAAGGAACGAAGGAACGAAGGAACGAAGGAACGAAGGAACGAAGGAACGAAGGAACGAAGGAACGAAGGAACGAAGGAACGAAGGAACGAAGGAACGAAGGAACGAAGGAACGAAGGAACGAAGGAACGAAGGAACGAAGGAACGAAGGAACGAAGGAACGAAGGAACGAAGGAACGAAGGAACGAAGGAACGAAGGAACGAAGGAACGAAGGAACGAAGGAACGAAGGAACGAAGGAACGAAGGAACGAAGGAACGAAGGAACGAAGGAACGAAGGAACGAAGGAACGAAGGAACGAAGGAACGAAGGAACGAAGGAACGAAGGAACGAAGGAACGAAGGAACGAAGGAACGAAGGAACGAAGGAACGAAGGAACGAAGGAACGAAGGAACGAAGGAACGAAGGAACGAAGGAACGAAGGAACGAAGGAACGAAGGAACGAAGGAACGAAGGAACGAAGGAACGAAGGAACGAAGGAACGAAGGAACGAAGGAACGAAGGAACGAAGGAACGAAGGAACGAAGGAACGAAGGAACGAAGGAACGAAGGAACGAAGGAACGGGTTCGCCCATTTTGTGCGCAGAAATATGGTTATGGAATATGAAATTGGGCAGTGTTGCATGTACCTTCATATGTTTCTGTACACTGACACTTTATTGATTCCTATTGAATGGTCCCATTTCTGGAATAGGAACACTATTATATACACATAGTCCCATTCCCAGACACACTCCATGAGACACATGGGCAACATGCTTCCTGATATGATTGAGTGCTTATCATGACACACAGTTGTACTGGATCATCTTGTACATTGTTTCCAACATTGTGATTCTGATTCCACCATTCTGTGATTCATACTGTCGCTTTAAGTGGTTCATTATCTTCTCCTTACATTGTCCAAGTCACAGGGAAGCTTACTCCAGATGTCACCTGTCACATCATAAACAACATCATGAGCAACATAATACATAGATTTGGCACTTGTACCAGCTGCCCTAGACCATAATATATATTAGAAATGTTGTAACAGAAAACACTGAAAAAAAACAAAGTTGCCCTGACCTAACATTTCATTTTTGTTTACTCAAAAGAAAAAGGTTTTCAATTTAATACTGCAAAAGCTACCATTCAAAACCGCTAGAACCCCAACTTGCACACAGTATCTGAAAATAAAACAGATACACATCCCAAGACTGTACATGAACAGTTAGCACTGTAAACAGCTGACAGGACCCCTAAATTTCCTCTAAGCTGCTCCCTTGATCCCTAATCAACACTGCCCTCGCTAAAACAAGGAAACAAAGTCCTCCACTTGCTGAGCTTCCCCTGCAAGTAGGTGCTGCTGACTCTTCTATTAACTCAGCTGTTTCATCAACTTATTGATTACAAGGTCCTTTCCTCCACAGACAACCCTGAACAACACATTCTCTTACACAAGCTTAACAACCTTTCAACTTAAGCGAGCTAAGTCGCTCTACCAAGCCCCAAGTGTACCAAATTGTGCACACTGCACGCTTCACAAAGCTGTACTAATTCAGACTACTATTTCATTTCCTTCTTCACCATTATTACCATACCTTACCGGTCACTAAAGCGCTACCAATGCTACCAGCAACAAAGCTCTACTCAACAAAAGCTTAAAGAACATGCATTTTATATACATATATATTTTTCTGTATACATGTGCACATATATATATATATATCTCTATGTGTTTATGTATATATATGCACACAGACACACAAAAATATATATGTAATCATATACGCAGTACTGCTTCAATTAGGCCAGCTCTTAATTCCAAGAAAGCTTCTAGTAAATTTGCGACTTTCAGATATTTACCTCACCTTTGGGAAGAACACGGCGAAGGCCACTCGAATCAAATTCATCATCTCTACTTGTAATGACTTCTGGTGAGAAAAATGTCTTCAAAACGCTAAGTAGAACGCAGCGATCCCAGTTGTCAGTGACTCTGCCGACATACTTACATGCCCTGGTCATGTAGCAAAAATCATTTTATGGCACCTCGTAGAGAAAAAAAAAAAACAAAAACATTTAGCCACAACCTGTAACTTAACCCGACAGCCACGTTACTATTGCTATCATCTAAATTAAAGACAACCAGCGTTCTTTAAAAATCTTAACAAATCACCATTTACAACTGATGGTTCCCTCTTACAGCATAGATCTCCTGGTCTGCGACTACTTCAGTACTTAGTCTGATCTCTATACTTAGTATTTCACTATTCATACTACACTTGAGCTACTTTCCTCTTATGTAACACCGCTTATTCTTTAGAACAATAACACAGAAAAAAAAAAAAAAAAAAAGCTACATTGTCACAAAGCAACCTCGCACATCATCGAAGCTTACGTTGGCTTTGTTTGCAATTGAAAACATTTCAGCAAAGTATTACATCTCGTTTAAAACAACTGTGCTATGAAAGATAAATAGTGGCAAATATTTTCTGGTCAAATAAGCTGATGCACAGAAATCTGATCCAGAAAACACAGCTTTCTAAGCCTTAATAAAAACAGCCAGCACTGGGAAGGGCATTTATGTAATAACGCTACAAATTCCATTGGCCCTCACGATTCAAGAGAGCAACCGCTTAAAGCCCGTGCGAGAACAACACTGCAGATTTGCAATGGCAAATAGCGTGCTTTTCAATTCATTTCTTTTCAAGACACGTTTTATCAAAGCCACGCTAAGAAGCTACTGCTGAAGTAGGAGACGAGCAGAAAACAAAAAACGCTTCCTTTTCTGCTACCGATAATCAAAAGCAATTTGAGCGCAATACAGAACAACTATTTAACTTGCAACCTTTTTTCCCCAGAGCTAACTTAGGTGGTCACCGTCTTCCTTAACCCCTTCGCAATGTAAGGCCGCCGCCGCATTACTAACCGGTTTTTTGCAGCTGTTTTAAAAATTAGGGTCAGGCACGTGATCCATCAGATATGAACGAAGTCTGTTTGCTCGTAAACCCTTGGGCGCTTCGTTTGTCATTTTCACTCCGTTCTGAAGAACGGAAACATGGCAGACGGGTAGCTGGTGAGCCAGATTCTGAAATCCCAATGCGCTGCCTCTGGGTTAAGCTCCTACAATAAACACGTATGAAAACAATTGGAATAAGTGACAGACTAACACGCATCTCCACTGTTATCATTTATGCCACTTTTTTGCACGAAATTGAAAAATTTTCCAGTTAGATGTATGAATTTCTATAAGTCTCACAAGCGAAGATTATGAGATTCAAACTTATGACGATTCTCGTTTCCCTGGATGCCGGAGCGCTTTTATTCCTGGCTGCGGAATACCAAACTGAAATTTCTGCTCTTTGTGTAACACGTGAACAAAAACAAGGTACCGCTCAACAGCTAAGAACTCTGGTGGTCGCAGGCGAGCGGTGCAAGAAATGTATTTCCAGGAAACATAGGAGCTTTAGAAATAACAACCCTCTTTTAAAAAAGTGCTGATTTCTACTGCTAGGATTTTTTGCTAGTTTGTTTGCTTTAAATACCATCGTAATAAAAGCAAGTAAGAATGCACGTAATTAATTTTCAAGTGCAAACACCACCCACGACCTTAAGATGCTGTGTTACTACTCTATCTGACAGTTAACGCTTCCTGTTAAGGAGAACCACGAGACCCCTTTCAACGTGTTCTGAGACAAAATGGTTTTCTGAGCTTGCTTTAGCATTTCAATTTCTACTCAATTAGCTATTTATACAAACACACGAATGCACACGGAAATGCATCGTCTACTTTAAAAAAAAAACAGGAAATATTACAATACCTGATCGTCAGCAAACTTAGAGTGCTGCCATAGGGTCAGCTCCTGGGAAAAGAATAAATACCGGTGCTGCGCAAGAGTGGCTGTCAGAAAACACTCGACAAATCAAATGGAAGAGGCTCGACAAACTGATAGCCCAGGTGGTGAATGATGAATTTCTGCATCGTTGGCATTATCTAAATACAGAAACAAAGAAATCTGAATGTCCTGTTGTTTTGCAAGTGTTACTAAGCCACTTCAAACAGTTTACTATAAGCCACAAGGAGAGTATTGCTACACCAACAATGAAGCACCGATTGAGTCCTAGAAAAATAACTTAACATGTATGAAGTGACACCAAAATAATCTTGTAATAAAGACGTGCCCTGCAGCGGCTGAAATAACTGACCCGCGATATCATTTCCGCCCCGCATCTGAACAGAGTAACACGCGGATGCAAGGACCTGGAAGCCCGCCCGCGTGCGTATTATTTGTATCGCAAAAAACATTTTGCTTTTGGAATACTTTCATTGCAGTTGTTTCAAAAGACATAGTACCCTGCTTTGGCAAACTGCAGCACAAAATGATACCCTTTCCTTTTTTGGTCTTTTTAATTTATTTTTTTTATTTTACTTGATTTTATTTTTATCCTTTACTATTGTAAAGTAAGCACAATACCACGCATAACAAACAGTCCTTAAGAAAATCATTTAAAACTTAATCAATTGTAAACATCTACAGGTACATTTCTCTCATAAACCACAATTTGCTTTCTTTCTCTTAACTAATATACCTTAAAACACACTGAATATTACATGATTACCAACTCATCGTTACAGAAACCTAACAGCATCAACAAACAACACAAGATTTTAACCCATTAACATGAAATTCAAGTAATCCCAAACACTTCAAAAACATCACTACTGGTTCAACCCCTTTTATCGCAACCTGCCTGCTTTCAAGACCTTCTGTAAGAAAACTACACAAAACTGTTACATTTCTATAAGCTTTTCACAAACATTTTCAACAAAACAGCTATAAATGCAATGTAACAATAAATACACTCATACATAAAAAAAAAACACATTTCTTTCACTTTATAAAAGCACACTAAGGAAAAAAAAATATATATATAACAATTACATACCTGAAACAAAAGCAGACTTGTTTCCCACACTTCACGCTCCTGCTCTCACCCATCTGTTCTCACTTATTTTAAAGCTGCCCTGCTTCACAGCTGTAGTGTGTCACCAATTAGGAAAACGCCTTAAATTGGAAACCTGGGAGGACAGGAACTCTGACTTACGCTCCCTACAGCCTGCTCTACTGGAGACGCTTCTGAAGGACCTCCTTTCAGCTTCACAACTTCAGAAACACAAGGTTATGTATTTAGTTTGCTCCTCTACCTTCAATTTTTTGTATTCTGAACTTATGGTTACTTTGTGTATAATGCTACATACCTACTTGCAGATTCTCTTTTTGTAGATAAGCCGAGAAGACTATTTGACTACATGCAGCAGGAAGGATGAAGAAGTTATATGATTACTACTTGAATCTAATATCAAAAGTTAAAATCATCTTAGGTTTAGCAAACTTAATGCTTACGTCCTTGCAGCCTTCAACTTGAGAACGAAAAACAGGAGACCTTGCTTCTGTTTTGGCAAACGTATTGAACGACTGGGTTAAATCTCATCTAAGCCATGCTAAAAGAATTCTCTAAGAGGTGAATCTTGATAGCTAAAACAAACTTGTTTTCCAGATTGTTTTTTTTTTTCACTAGATGCCATTCTAAATTGGCAGAAAACTATAGCTCTTGACTCACACAGCTTATATGTAAGATTTTTCTGTAGCCGTGGAAAATTATTTTTTTTCCAGGAAAAAAAATAAATATTCTTAACTACAGCAAATTCCGTGCACGGATACTGGAATGCTTCTACAGGTGCGCTAGCTAATCTCTGAAATAGCAAAAGTACTCAGATAGCCTGCCGATGAAACACCTGCATAGACATCTGCTCCCTGGACCTGACTGTTCCTTGTTCTTTTACTAATTGACCTGCCTGCTTGCAGCTCTCGCTCTTAAAGCTCCTTGTTTAGCTGGATCTGTGTGGATACATACGGTGGGGAAAGACGTTACCGGAAGTTCTCTGCGACGGTTCGATGGGAGCGCGAGCTGCGTGTTGAGTCAAGTTCTGAACTTCTGAACTGCCGAAGCGCGAATGAACAGGATGTGGCAAAAAGTTTCTTTGGCTTGATAGAACTGGAGAGCTGGGAACCTAATGACCACAGTAAGCGCTGGCTTAACCACCTTCTTTAAATATTTCTGTCAATCTCCTTGACAACGTCCCCTTATTTATTACAAAACTAACAAATTTTCTAGCATTTCACTAAACTGAAGCCTACCAAAAGTTTATCCTATCTGATACCTTGACACACGTGCTAATTATACTCTATATCATTTTTCATTTCTCCTTTTCCATCCGAAGAGAACGTTTTTGATTTGGCAAGCACAAAATGATTTCTATCAATGCTGTGAAGTCAGTCTAGATCTTGTCTCGCGCCGTGTCTCGCTCATGGTTCACGCAACTGGTTTTTACCTAACATTGGCTGAATTATATTTCAGATGTTATCTGCGAAATGCTTCCTCTGCCCGTAGACAGAAATACTGAAGAAACCTGCCCGCTTGTTACGCATCCAATTTTCCTGGTTTTAATACCCGTTCTTGTACTGGGCTCACGCTGCAGGGAGGAACACGCCAAACGTCGTAGCTGTAGATTTTTATCTCTTACTAAGCCGTTTGATGATCTGACAATGGATGAGTACTACGTGCTGAAGATGACGTGGCTAAGAACCTTCCTGGTAAGTGTTAACTAAGTTATCTTAAATGCGAAGCTGAACTATTTAAAAACAAAGAAACAACAGCAAAAAAAAAAACCCCACTACTCTTTCTTTTCTTAAGACGGTTGAACGCTAGCAAAGGAATGATGGTGTAATGCCAGAATGGGATTAACTTAAATTTAATAATGAAAATTCCTTATTTACTAAGTAACCTGTGCCTCTAGCCCTTTTAAGCCTAGTTTACTGTCTAGCTTCTGGAAGAAAACTTAGTTTCGTTCCGATTGTTCACCCAACAACCCATTACAGTAGAAAAATGAACTTGGGTGTGTGATAGTAATTCCGGGAAACTACAATTAGCAGCTCTATCTTTTCTCAGAGGGAAGACACCTGACAAAATAAGACTTGGTCGGACTGCTGCTTTCTGTCTCTAGCTTCATAGAGAATCGCTGTCTAATTAGGCTGTCAGGCTTTAAAGCTTCTTTCGAATGAGTCACGGTTCTCACGTTCCGATCGTCGCTACGGTATTTGTGCGGGCCATGCTGTCGATATACCAAAGCACACTTATCTGAGCTTCTTTAGTTAATGGCCTTTGATATGCCACCTCTTAATTCTATGGATAATAACAGAAAGAAGTGAGGCGAACTCTCTGATGGGGAGCTCTAATTGTGCTCCTTCTTTGTCATCTGAGCTCTTTGTGGCTTTGTGCAATAGATTTTTATCTTGCTTGTAAGGTCTCATATTGAAAATATATATGGAGGCTGTCAAGACTACATCAAAAATAAATAGCGCTCAAATAGCTAAAAATAGCAGCTGTCTGCTTTATTGGAAGCAGTCTGATACCTCAGAAGCTGGGCTAATTGTATAAAGTTATTAACTAAACATACCTAAACTAAAACTAAATTGAAGACTCGCTCCCCGATGCTATTAAAGCATAGCTAAATAATGGGCTCGCAACTTACAAGTTTGCTAAATATATTTAAAAATAAAAGTTGATGAACTGAACCCCGCTGGCGAGGCTGGTGGAAGAGTTTCTGAATCAGATGGTGATGCGTACGAATGGCCTGACGGACTACTGTGCACCATTCAGACAATGGTAGTGCTCATAAAAAGCATACTTCTAAGCTAAGATTAGTAGCGGATAAATGACTTCTTGAGGATCTAAGTTCTGAACCCTCTAAATTGGACAGTTAAGTTATTCATCTGAAAATCTCAAACTTTTGCTTTGCTTTAAGTGCAAAACCGGCAGAAGCGTAATATGCCTTTGAAGAAGTAGTTGCTGCGACTAGGAAGCATCTCGTAGGTAACTTTGTCTCCAAACATCGATATACCCCACGGGCACCGGCACCCGTCGCAGCCGATCAGACTTGCCAACCTTCTGAAAGCTCATAGGACGAGTCCAGAAGTTCAATATGACTCTAACGCTTTTTTCTCTTTATACGGTAAAAATTATTTTGGTGCAAATGCTAATATTAAGCTGAATGGCAGTTTGAGGAAGCGCTGAGGATTTCTTAATAGGCTCTCGAGAGCAGAAGTAGTAACTGACCTATTTCTCTCTTATGCAAAATGCTTTGTCACGGCTAGGCATGAGCTAATACTAGTCCTGATTACCTGTGAATGTATGATAAATACGTAAGTGAATACTTTTATCTTGCTTTTCCTGGGCTGACTTTTGAATAAAGATGACTAATGGTGAGTATCTGTTGCGATCTACGCTTTATTTGAGCCTTTGAGCAAGCCGCTCGCGATGGTCCTGAATCAAAACACTCTCTGTAGAACAAACTGGATCTGGGTGGCTGCAGTAATTACTACTTAACAGTCTACGCTACTGTTAAATTATCTTCCTACACGGGTCTAATTGACCTTGGATAGCAAAGTTGAAAACTTATGCAAGCCAAGTTGTCAGACGTAATAAAAAGGGAAGTCACTAGGCTCCTAAGATGACCTTGAGCTGGAAAAGCTCAGGAGATTTGTGTGTGTGCAGTGAAATGTTTAAAAAAAAAAAAAAACCAAAACCTTAAGGCCTATCCTTCTGCGTTGAGAAATCTGTTCGTTACACTTCTATGGGAGGAGACGTGGCAGGTCTAGACTAACCAAAGGTATATTCCGTGTCCTATCCTTATGTACGTAAAAGCTAGGGTAAAGATGGAAGTGAGGGTACGTTTGGAATGAGGGCGTTTATCTGACTTTGACTTTTATCTGGCGAACAGACTACCTCAGGGTGAACTGTCACTATCTTACCACTTCTGCCTCTCTCCCCCATCTCGCTGTGAATGAAGCAAGTGCCTGCGTAGCGCTTAGCTGCCTGCTGGGGCTAAACTGCAGCCGCTCGGTTGCAATGCATACTTGAAAATGCTTTTTGTTTCTAAAATACACGCGGGGTTTTTTGAATAAGGCGGTAGCTTTGTACTTACCTTGTCAGGTCGCACACAGCGAAGGACGAGCATCCTTTGGATTTTGCCCAACTTTTCTCGCCTCTCTGCCGGAAAATCCTTGCTCTGATGATCCTAAAAACATATGTATTTCAGTTGTATCTAAAGCATATCCACGTGTAATTGTCTAACAATTGTTCTGCACTGAGAAAATAGTTCTGATTATAGACATTAACACGTTTAAGCATTACGCTTCCTCGCTGTAATTACCCTTGAGCTTAGTTTCACAAATGAATTAATGTGCTGATCGGTTGGACTAATAGAACCAGCAAAAGGGTGATGAATTGCTTCCAAATCAGATAAAATCAAGCGTGACATCATTTAATTAATTTTGAGGCTGGCGGGGAGGAGAAAGGGGGTCAGCGTGATGCTGGAAAGTAGCGTATTTCTCCCCTAGAGATTTATTTGGAGACAGAAAAAGGCAAACAGGAGGATGGGGAAGAGGAAGATGCACACCAGGTGAGAACGGTGCTGACATTTCTGGATGTGAGCATGCAGCAATGCGTGGCCAACATGTGCTGCCCACCCCACTCTGAGGTTGAGTTGATCTCCACACCCCAGGGGCCGTACATAATCCCTTCCCTCAGCCTCCCCGGGGTCACCGCTTCTCTGCCCTTCGCTGTGTTCCCATGCAGGGACAAGGCTGCAGTGGGGAAGGAGCCAGTACCCCCAGTTACCTCCCTTGGTTTCTCCCTGCGCTACCACCGGATTCCCAGTCATTTTTATTTGAAGGGGACAAAAGGGATTGATGGAGAGGACGCAGTGAGACTCTGGACCGCTGCTGCTACGGCCAGGCTCTCTCAAATTAGAGCCTCCCCTGGGAAGGCTGCTCACCTGTAACGCCGCACTGGAACCTGTACCAGTCAGGGGTCAGGCACAGCTCTGTCCTTGTAGCCCTCTGTAGGCGTTCATCACCAATTTCAGGCTTTGCCTCATGCAGAAATCCTGTACGAAGAGCCACTGAGAGAGAAGGCCGTATAAATCAAAGGTCCCTGTGACAGCTCACACTCGGAGCTGACTTCTGCAAAGTGAATGCAGCCCAGCTTTTTATACACACACACACGGCGATACAAACTTCACAGAGACATATGGCCCTGGCCTTATGCCAGCTCAAAACGTATGGTAGCAATGCACACGCACAGACATACATCCCTTGCCTGGAGCCGAAGGGACAGTCATCTCTTCTGAGCGCGCACCGTGGCAGTCACTGCAGCAGAAAGGAGCTCTGCTGTTGGCAGCCGAGCAGTCTGAACCCAGGTCTGTGTCATGCAGGGACTCGCACACCTAAAAGATTTGCCTCTACTTCAGTCTCCAGCAGTAGAAGCAGGAAGGAAATAACTTAGAATCATAGAATGGCCTGCGCTGAAAAGGACCACAAAGATCATTTAGTTTCAACCCCCTGCTATGTGCAGGGTTGCCAAGCGCCAGACCAGGCTGCCCGGAGCCACGTCCAGCCTCGCCTTGAATGCCTCCAGGGACGGGGCATCCGCAACCTCCTTGGGCAACCTGTTCTAGAGCCTCACCACCCTCTGCGTGAAAAACTTCCTCCTGATATCCAAGCTAAACTTCCCCTGTCTCGGTTTGAAACCGTTCCCTCTCGCCCTATCGCTATCCACCCAAAATGCTCAGGTGTGGAAAGCCTTATGAAATGCTCGCAGAGAAGGGGCCCCCCTGAGCGCCTCGCGGGGCTCTTTGGCAGCACGGCGTTCTGGAAGTGCAAGAAAGGATTTGCTTTTACACCGTGACATTTGCCAAACAATTAAGGTGAAGAGCAACGCACTATAATCACTTTTAGTATTAAATACACGCTGTAAAAATAAATGTTTAAAAGGCATCCTTTGCTTTTTTTTTTTTTTTTTTTTTATGAGCACAGGACGTGTTGTTTTGCACATCGGTATAAAAACCCTTGCAGCTAGGATCATAAGATTCAATTCTAATTGTGTAATTATTACCAGGGTCTTGCTTCTTCTCCCATTATGCATTAAGCGGAGAGATCCAGAAACAAAAGGATTTGAGCTTTCCCAGCTTAACGGTTGTTTGCAGGATTTGTAGTGCAGGTTTCTTATTTTTCTTCCGTCGCAGCTTAGCATTGACTGAGAAATTAAAAGAGATAAATAAAACGGCATTACGCACCCACTGCTCAACCGAAAGGAGTGAGGACTTTGGAGGCCCCGGTCGGTCCTGATTGCAAACCAAGCCATCACCTAATTCCCCACCAAAACTAGCTCCCCGAGGCTAGAAACCTATTGCAGTAACCGGATTCAGCATCACCACCCTATGAGGTCAATGTAACACCTTTACAGCTGTACAACACGCTGGCCCAATCATAAAAGACACACATGGCTTGCCCTTGGCCTCTGGACTCAAAGCGTACGGAAGGATGCTTGACCCAGGGCGCTAGTCCATTCGGACCTGTGGTCATGTCCTAACCCAGCTCCTCACTACAGGTATTTCTATACGAGGATCTGCCTTAGCAACTCTAAGAGGAGATGTCCCTGGAAGATGATTTTCACCTATAGGGATGCCATCATCTGAATGCAAAGCCCTCGCCTTGCACGTGTTACCAACAGGGTTTGCATTTCTGCCTGCGGTACGTTAATATTCATGTATTTGCCTGCTGCCAGCCTCGGGAGCAAGCGGTGTCCTCTAACTGCAATTTCAGCCTGGTCAAGGTAACTGACCTCTTTCATTAAGTGCTCTCCAAATTTCCAATCTGTCCACGAACGTACAAAATCTGCACTAATTACAGGCCTGCCAGGAGGCCAAAAGTGCAGAGGGGAGATAAGGGGGCTTCTGGGTGCTATTTAAAGGCACAGCACAACACCAGCAAGGTTTTGGGCTTGCGCTTCACGCCCTGTCCTGCTCTCTGCTATCCAGGCAGGGTCATTTAAAAACAGAGCCCTAAATTTGATGGTGGCTGCAGTAGGGGGCAGTGCCTCTGCCTCCTGTGGGCACAGGGGAGCCCCACGTGTATGATGTAGTAACGCACCAAACGATGTGCGTGCATCACAGATAGTGTATAAAACATCATGGCTTACTGATACAACACGTGTCGCTGGACAAGCGATACGAGCTTTTTCCCTTCTATACCCCTTTTTAATAAGCACATTTTGATATTCACTGACCTTTTTTCCTTTTTCTTTTCTCTTTCCTAAGTTCCCTGGCTTTATGTAGAAAGACCCCATCAGTGCGAAGTGGAATGTAATGCGGTTTATTACCGCTAACAAGAGAATGGCCCATAACTCTAAAGAGACAAAGCCTCAAGTGAGCTATGAAGGTCATTTTCTAGCATCCAGAAAAGAAATGAAATACTGACAGTGCCACGCTTCCCATTTTGGAGACAATGTGGGCCGCTTTTAGCTCTCTCGTAATACAGGGTAAAAGTGAAGATTTTTCTTCTTTCAGACCAAATTTCAGACGGTCAGTCCTCCCTGCCTCAGAGGAAATGAAGACGGGTATCCATCTGCATTTCCCAGCATTACTTAAAGCCCTCTGGATGTGCTGGTTGGCACGTTCACGTCTTCGGGAGACGCAAAGCCCAGCCTGCACATGCAGCCACTGCCTCCCCCCTGCGCCCAGAGACCTCAGTGGGTGAAGGCTCACACGGCAGACTCTCAGACTCAATGAGTACATGGTTACCACCACGGCTGTATAAAACACCGATGATTGAGAAGCTCGTGATCTTCTCTGGGGTAAGCAGAGAGCGGCCACGTAAACCCACCGGCAGCCGCGTTAGGCTTGGAAGTGAAAAGCACGCAGCAAACAAATGCAGAAATGCACAGTGGGGTCCCTGGGCTGACCGTAAGTAAGCGGTGAGCTCTGCTTGCAAGCACGTGGGAGCCCGCAGGGAATCGGCACTGAACATACTACGTATTCACAGCTGAATAACTCTTCCAGGCTCCGATCTCGCTGCTAACAGAAAAGGAAATACACATCCTTCTGAGGCACAAAGCTGGTAAATGGCCTTAACCCCGCTTAAGTCAACATGTGGACTGATGCAGATGGGTAAAGGATGTGACCCCACCTGTTTCCTTGGGCTACCACTCAAAGGGCTGGACACCCATGTCTTATTACTAACTAGTTCATCGCTAACTGACGAACGAGCAGCAGCTTTGCCGCTGACTGCAATTTGTCTTTCCTACTCGAAGTGCCAAATGTCATCCTAGCAATGCATAAGCAACAACACCCAGGCACAGCCTCGAGATTGATACTTAATGATGCACAGAAAATGGTGCTGTTTGTGAACCCTGGCCCTGAACTCTGAGACCTTCTTCCAAGACAAACTCGGCACGTTCTCGTCAGCACTATTTCATCCCATTAGTTGTAAAGAATAATTTCTTTTTTATCCCCACGGGAGGGGAAGAGATGATCACACCGCTCAGCTGAAGCCAAGAAAGTCATTTAGGAAGAACAGGTCCTTGCATCACACGGTCAGAATAAGACCACTAGTGCACGAGTGCTAACGTCATCAGAAGACTGATTAAGGTAAACAAACCCAAAAAGGGCAGAACGGAACTGCTCTGGATCAGCATTTTGATGCTCTCCTGGAAGACCTGACCCATTGAATCTGAGTTTTAAACTAATTCTCCTGGCAGAAGGCAGGACCCAGCTGCAGCCTCGGAGTAACAATCCACAGTGTCACGTCCTGCCGGTCCAGAGCTGCACCGTGCTCAGCCCGGACTGGGCTGAAAAGCGCCTACAGTTCTCTAGAGCAGGAGGAAATGCGAGAGAAACCACTCCGATTTTCTAAATAAGCAACAATGCCGCTGAGCGAAAAAAGTCATTTTGTCCCCGGTGTATCCAAACCCATCCTCCTTTCAAAAAGCACTGCCTCTCCCTAGGAGCTACCTGGGATTTCCCTCTCTTCTGCAAGTGTAGGCTGAGATCTAATTTAGCAGCAATATAATACAGGAAAAAAAAAGAAAAAAGAAAAAAAAAAGCATTAACTTCCTACAAAATGTTGCTCATTATGGATCCTAGCCTGCCAACACTATGAGACGGGCGTGGGAAATATTTCCAGTACACAATAACACTGCTAACTTATTGACTTGTCAAAGCTGGGCATGTCGTATACTTGCTTTTAGACACTGATAGGCAGTGATTTTCATACTTAGTCTATACTTGCACTTCTATCCGCCCGCAGTAAAGTTCCTACAGGTATTGACCCAGTATCGCAAATCGGTCAGAATTGGGAACTACCTTGCTAAGCACTGAAACTGGTATGTTCCTCTGTTCGTGACAGCTCTTTGGCATGTCCCCTTAGTGCAGAAGAAGCCAAACAGATCCAGAGAGCAGTTATATTTGCATTTCTGTACGCTTATGCTGTTTGCAGAGCAAAGCAATTAAGCGCCGTGCCTTTGCCACTGAGCACCCAGACTGCACAGATGAAACAGAACAGCACGTACCTGAGCAGTGTCTCGCCGGCCCTGTGTGACGCTGCTCCCAGCTGCAGCCCTCCAGCAGGGCACAATGCCAGCTCTGGTAGTGCCACAGGGCACCGGAGCGGGACCTGTGCCCCAGGATCCTGCACCAGCCTCCGAGGTGCTGGGACGCGCAGCTCCAGGCCTGCTGGTGCTGGATGAGGTGGCGGTGCAGAGTGCGCCAGAGCACGGGAGCTCACGTTTGGACTCCGGTGACCTGAGAGCGGTGCCCCAATGCTGTAAGTTGCCTTTCTTTACCAATGTGTGGCACTTCCCTGATTATTATTACCGTTCTGAACCACCCAGATCTGTCAATCTAATGGAGATAGATGGACAGTAAAAACATGCACCGGAAAACTACTGGCAGGTTGTGCAAAACGACCAGATTTAATCAGCTGATAAATTATTCACTCCAATTGAGAGTAAAACATACTATTTGAGCCTGTTTATGGATGTCTGATTTGTGCTAGTGATTTCCCATCGCTTTATTATGTTTGCTAACACATTATGAAATACGCACTGCTATGCAGTTTCCAAGGGTTTCTGCAAAGAGCTAAGCTGCCAGCACAACAGGAATTTCATTTGAGGGAAGCCCTTACGCTGCCAGGACCCCGAGGGTCCTGCGCTGCACTCCTGCCAGGCACGACTGCAGCTGTAACAAAGCACAGGCATGGGACTGGGCTGGCTGCAGCCAGCTCTCGGAGGGGTCGCTGGTGACTACACAGAGGACTCAGCAGACACTGCATCATTCTGGTCAGCGTCACCAAAACAGCAGCAAACACGGGCAGCACAATGAAGAAAATCCCTGGCTCCATCATTGTAACCCATAGTATGCCAGGCCCACGGCCTGCCTTGAACAAAGGCTTGCGCTTCAGCATGCCCCAGATCTTTATTTGGAGGGGGTTCTGGTGTTGCTTCAAAGGTGTGCATCCCATCTGCTGAGCCACAGGTGCTCTGCCCTGGGCAGCAATGCATTTCCGGAAAAGACCAGGCAGGAAAGAAGCCAGAACCTAAACAGAGCTGGATGGCACCGGTCTGCCGGCCAGGTTTGGTACCCAACTCGTCCTGGTGCACGATCCCAAAGAGCACTGAGTAGGCAGCCTCGACAGCCAACCTAATAAACCACATTTAAACATCCAGCACTGCTGCGGGGTCCCCTGTCACGTGCCTATCCCTTCCCTGGTCTCCCTCCCCACCGCGCAGAGGTCCTGGCTCCAGTCCATGTCCTTTCTCTGCTGGAGGCAATCACCTCCCTGTGCAGGGCAGGCTTCATCCATTTCTATTTCTGCCAGGAAAGACACCCAGCTGAGCTGTAACAGCGTAATGCCAATGAAAAGCCCCACGCGAGAACGGGCTGAGAGCTGGAGAGGGAAGGCAGGGAAGTCTCCAACACTGAGGCTAGCTGGAGGCACCAGCGCCCTTTTGGACCCTCAGCAAGACGTGCTCACACACACATTATATCTACCAGGAACAAACCTGCTGAAGGTGAGAGGTAAATCAGCTGCTGCAAGTCAGGCAGACAAAAGCCCAGGTGCAGCCCTGCAGCAACCTGCTGGGGAGCAGTATCCCTGCACCACTTTCAGCCCTGGATGCCTTGGGGTGCCCAAAACCCGCCGTGCTCCCCTCTCCACAGGTCCAAGCCCCTCTCCCGGTATCATGCTAATGCCATAAAGGAGGTGGACGGAGCAGGGAAGGCAGGGGGAACCTTTTGTTAAGACTGCGGAAATTTTCAGTAAAATGAAAACAAATTGCTCTAAGTAAACCATTTGTCACAGTCTGATTACTCTGCTGCCACTCTGGGAACACCAATTTGTCATGCTAGATCAGGATAACAGCGGGCTGACTGTACGGAATGGCACGCTGCCTCCTGCTCTTCCTGCTTGCAATGAAAGAGGATGGTGGGGAGCTCCCGCAGCTCCTTCCCAGCACCTCGTCCCTCCCAACAGCACGCTTGACCCACGTTTCCCTCTCCTTGGCAATACCTGAGTCTCACCGGTTTGCACACGGAGTAATAAACATAAACATGCGGAAGAAAGAAAAAAAAGCTGCTGCACGATGCATTAATTAGAGGCAGTGCTACAGCAGGCATTGAAAGAAGGAAGGTTAATGCGAGGCAGCGAGAGGAAAAGATCAGCCAAAATGCACAAAGCATGGGAAAGTTGCGGAAAGAATTCCGGTCCGAGAATCATAATCCCCTCGGCTTCCCCATCCAGAGCTAAGAAACAATTATCAGAGTCTCCCCTGCCAATGTCTCTGGAATTACACGACGGTCTGTATCTCTGAAACAAAACAATCAACTCCGGCCTGCATAACAGCAATCTTCCAGTCCACAACACGTCATTTTGGGTAAAAAGCTCCATTCGGTCCAACACAAAATCTTTCATCCATTTCAAACTATCGAGAATTTTCTCCAAACCTTGGTCATCGCACCTTCGATATTAAAAACTTCTGGCTTAACTGGAGGGAAAGGCCTTTAAAAATAACCTTTCGTTGGGACAAAAGGGAAGCTGTGACCACAGCTAGCAAATTCTCTCCGACATAAGCATTCCCCGTGCCAAACTCAGTGCTGCTACGGATGCTTATATGGCTCTGCAGCCCACCTTGACATTCACGATCTGTACGGAAGCAGGGTGACTAAAACCAGTGAGAGTCCCCCAGACCTACTGTCAGGCTCATAGGAATAGTACGTGGAGAGCTCAGCTTACCGAGACGCATGCTGGTGGTTGTACTAAGAGAACTGAGCCCCTCCAAACCCGCTGTAGTGGTTATTCCAAATACATCAGAAAACTGATTCTGCTGTTTCTTGGCCCAACAACCACTTAATTCACATTCCTTATTTCAGTGCCCTGAGGCTCAGCAGAGCAGAAGTCACCCACAGACCCAATAATGTTCTGTACCATGCGTTTTGATGCACAAAGCTAACCAGACAGCAACTTGCTGTAGCAAGACTGCAGCTATAGTCCTCTATGGGATGCGGTTCCTGCTGTAACATTTGGGATTCAAAGCAGGCAACACAGAGCACGTTTATCGAAGGGCTTCCAGGGGCTGTAAACGTCAACATTATCTTTAAGAAGGATAACAGCGTGATTTACGTTTTAAATTTGTCCTCAATGCCTGGCAGCGGCACTACATCCACGTTGCTCTCTCCACCAAGTGAGTGCTGGGGATGTGAAGGGAAAAAGGCAAAAACCAGTCCATTTTTCCGCTTTGGGAAGACGCTGAGACATAATTCAGAATTTACCCATCTGACATCTCCAGCGTCCTAAAATCATAACCCAGCCAGCTGCGATCGACCCAGAGGCAAACAGAATAGTGCGTGGAAAACTTCAGCTGCTCTCAAAAGCTGCTAGAAGCTGTGGTTCCTTACTTTCTAGGACGGTTGTACCGATTAAATGTATAGAGTTTTAGTGCAAGGATCAACCACCTCTGTGACCGCACACGAGAAGTAAGGAAGAAAAGAAGACACCACCACCTCTACGGCAGACTCCGCCACCTTTGCCATTTCCAGATAAGCCCATCCTGTGTAACAAAAAGAATTTTCAGGGCTCGACAACAGGCCCTACCGATCGAAGCGTCAATATCACTGCCTGCCAGATAGTTATACCTAAGAAGGGGATTGTATTTTCCTAAATCTTAATGGCTTTCTTAAGCCATTTTTTACAAAGTTGGCACTTCTCACTCGGGGGGGATGAGCGTGAGTGGTTACTGCAGCTGACTTTTGTCTTACAGGAAAGAATGGCTAATTACCAATATTCCTTTAAGTCCTAATTAAACAGCGAGGGCTGGTTTCCTAATCCCACCTCTAGGACAATTCTAGAAAACAGCAAACATCCAAATCGATGCAAGCAAAGCACTGGCGATACTGAGGGACTAGATCATGGCAGCGGGAAATCAAGCTATAAAGGGGATTTCTTTTGCTCCACAGAGACCATTAGCTATATGATGTTAGTCGCCAACATAACTCAGCAATTCACCTTCATCGTATTAGCAAAAAGCATCTGTCAACAGCTGAGCACAGACTGCTCTTGCAGTGAACACGCTGCAAGGTAATGGAGAGAGAAGTGCTCATAATTCAAAAGGCAGAAAGGCAGGTTCGGAGCGTGCTCCTCTATAGTTCAAAGAGTGTAAAGACTTTCCTCTTTATCATGGCTCTGCAAACTCCAATTGATCTGAAACCAACTTGCATTTTCTAAATGTTGCTGCTGCGTTTGAACTTCAGTGAAAAATCCATTTGCTAGAAATGAAAGTTGCCAATTAAAATCGGTCTGTTTATGTTGCTTTGGGGAGCCGAGGAGAGAGGGAAAGAAAGGAAAAGCCAAATAATTCATTAAGTGATCTATATGGTGCCACTACAGCTGGCAATTATAATTATCCTAATAAGACCTTCCTGCTTATATAAGCCCTTCCATTCAGGGATCTCAAAACACTTTGCAACCATTAACGATGTTAGCTTCATCACATTCCTGACCTCGTTTTACAGCAGAGGGAATTGAGGAAAAGAGAGAAAACAGCACAATTTTCTGTAACAGATAGCTTTCATTTTGTAACTGCCTGTAAAGTTTATACTCGAAACTAAATCACATTTCAGAATCAGGGTCAGTTCTGAGCTCTTGAGCTGGCAGTCCTTGACACACAGCGAGTGCAGGAAAAAAAAAAAGGAGAACACTGGTGAGAATTGTGTGAGCGGGGAAGGTCTATCTGCAAACCTTCTGCAAAGAGCCTTGGGTCGCTGAAATCTGTCACCCAGGCAACGTGGGAGACTCAAGCAGAGAGCTTCTGCCTCAAGCCCTTGCGCAAAACCATTCCCTTCCCTACCTCAAACGGCACGGACGCGTGGCATGGGCGCTTTCAGAGTCCATTTCTTCAAATCCACAGGTCTTGCTTCGGGCTCCATCTCTGAAAGGAAAAATGACAAAGAATCAACATGAAATTTTGGGAAAAGAAGAAAAAAATGAAATAAGCAGTTGAATGCAATGTGCTGTTTACGTAGGAGAAAGCGGGGCTTCGATGGCGGTCACTAAGGATTTCTTAAGAACAAATCGTGTCAGACCAATATAATTTCTTGCTGTGAGAGAGTGATAAGTTTTGTAGGTAGAAGAACAGAAGCAAATGTAATACATCCTTAGTTTAGATACTGTTTTCTACTCCGTTCTCGTAGCTGAATTAAGGAAGAAAGGGAATTTCACGTGGCAGGAAGAATGCAAAAGTTAGGAAGCAGCACACGGAAAGGGGTTATCAGTGTTTCCCTGCCGAAACAGTGGGACAGACCCACATTTCACAGGAAGCTGCCCTGGTCCAGCACTACTGAACGCTTAAATTAACGATCTGGATGATGAAACGGAGAGCATGCTTATTCAGTCTGTAGATTTTGTAACCTGAGGAAGAAAGACACGTTCTTTGAAGAATGGACCTGGAACGGACAATGATTTAACAAACGGGAGCTCTAGCCCCAAACACCAGAACGCTCCTTAAGAGGAATGGGACATGTTTTGCCTGCCAGGTACATGGAATCGTAGAATCATAGAATGGCTTGGGTTGGAAGGGACCCAAAGGGTCATTGTGAAACAACCCTTCTGCTGTCTTCAGTGGGGGAAAGACCACGGCTGAAGCACCAGATCTGGGATCTGCATTTCTAGAAAACTGGTTGACCCCTGGAAGAGTTAAACAGAATGAGGATGCCAGCCCTGTCAGGGGTGTCCCAAAGCTTTCCTCTGCCAAAAGAGAAGAATGTTATCAGTGCAGATCACTCCTGAATCCACTGTACACAAGTCCAACCACACAAATTCTCCTTCGCGTGGCTTTTCTCCACCCAGTAGTATCCTTTTCAAAATGAAATTAACTTTCTTGCTCGCATATTGAAATTCCCTTCACAACCAGATGGCCAAATAACGTTAATACTAATTTTAATTCTGAAAAGCATACAAAAAAGGGAAAATTTTCTCATTATTAACGGAAGGAAAAACCTACTTAGCATATCTAAATGAAAAGTGTAAGATCTGTAACCCGTACAATAGCAATCCTGAAAAACCTACAAGATAGAATTTTTCTCTCGGGGCTTTTATCAAGGTAGTTATCCTAAGTTAAATGTGAAATCCACCCCGAAATCACTCTGAGAATTCTGTACTCACTTCTCTACTGTAAATAATCCCCCATGTGATACTAAACGCTCTCTGTTTATGACTCCATAACTCAGGCTGTGCCAGCAATTAGCATCACAGTGATAGCAGTGCTGCATTATTTAAGAGTTAGAGGAAGGTGCTGTCTGACTTGCTGGTGGGGCTGGGGTACAGAACCCGCTCACACTCCTGCTTATCGCTTCCTCAGCATCCACAGATCCCCGCTGACTGCAAACGAGGTAAAGACGAAGCACTTACTCATTGCAGTTTTGCTATGTTTCTGGATTCTTGGGTCTGACTTGGATATGATCTAAAGTTTGTCTGATCCCTCAGCATCTGGGGCTAAGCTGTATTTCCCAAGAAATATATTTTGCAGATGATCTACAACTTGTAGAAGCTGTATAGAACTGTACAGCTTTAGCCCAAATTTTCATCTGTCTCCACCATTCCTCAATCATAGAAGTGGAGAAAAAGCGCTTTTAAAATGGTATTTTTGATGTCATGCGAAAGGCGAGCAATCTCTAAATATGAGATTGAGCCTTCTCCCAGTGGAGCCAGAGTTAAAACTCTACGAGCAAGAGTATCAGGATAGCAACAGGCCTGAGCACTAACTCCAAAAGCAGTGCTGTATGCAGAGAGCATCCTTTGAAGTTTGTCAATTACAGCAGCAGACAACACATGAGAGCAGTAGGAGACAGGCATCAAACCCTTGGATGCGTTTGTGGGGTGCAGAACAGCTGTAAGACTCAGGTTTGCTGAGGATGAGGCTGAATGTGCGTCAATCATTTAACGCCATATATTTACCAAAGGAACGGAGAGTACGTTGGGCAGATCTCACATCCATTATTTACTTCCAATAAGCGTAGAAGTCTGACACCACAAGTCTGCATTAAATAAACATGCTTCTTTCCATATTCATTAACACAACCGCTATTTTCATCACGCTAACGACATGAATTCATTACTACTGCACAGCGTCTGGGTACGTTACTGTGAAGCGATTTTATGCACTGTTATTTGTAATCAAATTAGAGATTACAGGCAAACAAAATCCTAGAACTTGTTACGACAACTCTGCCCGGAGAAGACCCTGACATCCTTGTTTATGGATATTTTTGGGATGTGGTGAGTCTAAATTCCACCTCCAGCCCTCTCTGCAGCTGTCATTAATTTGCACTCTGCAGAAGTGTCATTAATTTGACGCTTCTGCAAAACCAGAGGTGTCTGAAGCCAACAGAACAGTGGTTCAGGTGGGAACTAGCCAGGTAAACGTGGCCGCACAGACTGCGGGAAAGCTGCTCAGCATCTTGTCTTGGTAGACGTTAACTTTGGTAAGAAAGCCACAAGTGAAACCTAATGGCTTAACCAAATCCTGCTGGTCTGTAACCAAACAGCTGGGGAAACATTTCAGACACCATCAGTTCCAGGCACGCAAAGACATAAAGAAGCCCAATGGCCAAGGGATGACGCTACATAAATTCAGGCCACGTTAAGCATTATTTCCTTTTAATAGTGAGGAGGAATTAACCATTGGAACAATTGGACTGGGGACTTGATACAGTTACGTAGGCAGATCATCTGCTTTTTAAAAACTCCACGCTAACTCTAAAAACGTTCTCCAGTGAGCATAGGATGCAATACTATGGGCTGTTTTATTCAGCAGGTCACTCAGAGACCACAGGGCACCACCGCTACCAGCTGTAATTTATGACGCTATGTAAAGACCTTTGGTTCTCCTACAACTGGTCCTCCTCTAGCAATGTATAAACTGTTGAATATTTACTGGAAATGTCTCAGATTTAGTGAAGACAGCCAAGCCATCCCCGTCACACATTCGCAGCTGATTTTAGGAGCCACAAAAGCAGATCTTCAGCTAGAACAGTTCCACTGAAGTAAGCAGAATTTGACCTGCTGTCACGAGATCAAAAATCAGAGTCCCGTATTGCGGGCCCCTATACATACCTATTTTCCCACATTATTCACCTAAATCTCCCCTTGATTTTCATCCAAGACTAATGGCTGTGAACAGACATCTCCGCCTCAGCATCTTCAGCATTCTGTCCTGGACTTTTTCGGGCACTTCCTTGACAATTCTGTTTATCCAAATTTTGCCATGCCTACGCCATTCTTTCAGCATGTTTTGCCAGTACTTAAAGGCAAAAATCGATCCTAGCACTAATCACCAAATAAAAAGACTTAGTGAGCCTATGGCAAGAGGATAAACGGGATTAGCATTTCAGGAGGACAGAACAAATACAGATGGGCACTCAACGGGCAGGTTTTGCTATTGAGCCAAGAGTGCCTCAGTAAGTAGGGATAAGGGAGCTCTTAAAGCTTTTGTTTCTAGCCAGAGATCTTCAGGAAAATGCAACACTACGCTGTGGAAGCTGCATGTTTATAAATATTTCTGCAGAATGTGAATTCATTAGGAACTGTGATAACACTGCTTTAAGATTTTACTAACCTTAGTGAAATGGCTAAAACACGTCTAACTTCAATGCATGTAATGTTTAACTCACACACCACATACAATCCTTCAGTCTCGGAATAATTTACATTGCAAAGGACCTCTGCAGGTCTCAGTCTAACTTCAGACCTGGGCCTGAATGCCAGCACCTTTTCCAGTAGAGTTCTCAAAATCTGCCACAATGGAAATTGCACCCACACAGGAAAACTGGGATCAACAAGCAGGACAACTTGCTCTCTTGCTTCCTCCTCCACAAGTGAAGAGGAAGTGGGGATAGGCGACTCTGTGCCCAAAGTTTCTTTCTTCCAGACTGTACAAGATCACCTCACTTCCTGCTTCCTGGAATGCCTCCATGGTCCTCCAAACCTCATGAACCAATTCCCGATGGTACTTCCAAAGGATGACTGAAAAGCATCGAACGCCCTACCACTGCTGGAGAGACACCTCTCAGTCTTTCATTGCCAGTGATCAAACCCAAAACTCACCGGCTCATCCCGACAAAATGTGAGAAATTCAAATAATTATCTGCCAGTCCTAATTAATTGCCGTCTCTGCAATCAAAAAATGTGGCTCACCTTTCCGCCTGCCTAGGGGAGGAAGTTTTCCACGTGCTAAAGATTTACGACACGGAATTTATGAGCTCCATTCAGATTGACAACAGCCAAAACATTTCTGAGAGGTTTTTTTTTTTTAGCATCAATCCTATGTCAAACCCAGAGAGTTTTCTGCCTGACCAAGTACTAAGCTACTGCAGAAGGATGTCGCCATGCTCTTTGAGAAGCGCGTCCCAAAGCTGTGTGCTGCCTTCTACAACTACCCTTACAAAATCAGTACAGATCACACCACTCCCACATGGGAATATGTGGGTTGGGATAGGCTGGGTAGCAGAAAACAATAAATCTCTCCTTGTGCTGGGATCCTTCCCAGCAAAACACTTAAGCAAAAGTGAATTAGGTTCAAAGAAGTGATTTGTTAACCCTTCTGCTGAAAACACGACCCCTCTCGTCACAAAGAAGGGGAAGGGCTATCCACCCAGTTGATCCTTCAGTTATGCACCTGGACCAAGTCTCACAAATCTGTGTTTAGCTCGCAGCAACAGCACAGGCAAGTGGGACTCCAGTGCCACATTTCACCCAGCACCGGAGAGTAGGATCCCTTGCAAACACACCTTCCCCTTCGACTTCCCAACTGCTCTAAGGACACAAAACAGCGCTTTCCAGGCAGGAAATCTGAGGTATAAAAGGGCTCTTTAAACTAATGGAAAAGGGCAGAATAACTCCAATAATTTGGGGTTTGAAACAGCAATTTCTAACCA